AACCCCCCCCCCCCCCCCCCCCCCCCCCCCCCCAAAAAAAAAAACAATCTCGTTTTCCAACGAGTCATAAGAGGAAGATGAATGGTGGTGCATAAAGGTGGGGAACCACATAAGGAGTTCAATAGAGGAATTGGGTTTTGCTAGAAAAACTATTACATGAGCATCCCCATTGAGGAAAAAGCAGTTAAATTCGAGAACTCAGACGATTCAAAATTGCAGGCAAAATGAGAACGTGACAGAATTTTGGCCGATCTTAACTCAGAATATAAAATGTTCAATTAGGTCGTTTTTTATGGGGAACTTCACGATCAGCGTGAAATTTGCTGCAGATACTTTAATTGATCGTTCTAACGCCGCCGTACGTCAGCAGAGTGTCATAAACCAAGCCCGAATCTTTACATGGTTTGAGTCGTACGAATGCGGATCCTCGTGCTTCCATCCGGCTTCCATCCGACTTCCATCCGGCTTCCACCTGGCACTCGTCAGACCTCTGCCAAGGACTCGTTCGACTCTTCTGATCGGAACCACATGGCAGAGACGGACGCGTCACGCATCTCACGGCGACGTGCCGTGACGGACGCTTCGAACGGCAGAAACCCAACTCGATTTCGAGCTCTTCATTTCTCCAGATCGACAGCGCTCGTTCGATTGCGATGAATAAGCTGCAACGAGTCCGAGAGCTTTCCGTCCGGTTTGGCTTCGAATCTCGGGCATGCATCGAGAGAGAGAGAAAGAAAACGACGAAGTTGGACCGGAAATCGTCCTTTCGGTCTGCAGGCATGCCGATCCATTCATCCGTGCTCGACGTAGGCGCTGTTGGGAATGTGCCATACCGAAAATACGTGTTCCACGGTCACCGAGCTCGTGCATGAAAACTGATAAAGGCCCATGCACTCTGACCTCGAAGCGCTGCGTCGCAACCGCAGCCGCCATCGCAGTTCGTTCCAATATCTCTCTGCACTCGGGACGCGAGGGACTGTCTGTCTTAGTCTGTCGCAGTAAGTATCGCAACGGAATCGGACGAAGCGAATTTCTCTTCGCCTCTTCCCAGTGGTTCATGATCATGGCCGCTCGAAGGGGGCGGGGGGGGGGGGGGGGGGGGGG